ATGATACATGCCTATAATCCCAGCTACTTGGGAGGCCAAGGAAGGAGGTTCACAAGTTCAAGGCTAGCCTGGGGAATGTATTGGTCTTGCTACAAAATAAAATCTAAAAAAGATGAAGGTGCTGAGGATGTAGTTTAGAGGTAGAATGCTACAGGATTTGATCTCCAGTACAAAAAAAAAAATGATTCCAAGATATGAATTTTAGAGGAGGACCTGGGCATAGCTTAGTGGTAGAGTGCTTGCCTAACAAGTTTAAGGTCCTGGGTTTGATTCTCAGCACATTAAAGAAAAAAAAGTGAGGGATTTAGGGGAAACATCACCAAAACTTCTATCTCTTTGTCCCATTTTACTTTGGGATTTAAAAACATGACATATATTGGGAGTTATGGAAATGTTTGTTATTTAATTGTGGTGATGGTTTCACAGTGTATACAGATGTCAAAGCTCATCAGATTGTACCCTTTAAACAGGCAGTTTATTGCATGTCAATTATATCTCAATAAAGCTGTAAAAATAAAAACAAAACCAATTATCTATTTTTTTAATTACCAAAGATAAACATTTTCATTATGAAGAATTTAGAAAGGCAAAATGAGGAAGAAAATAAATGTCACTCATTGCTCAGGAATAGCTGTGCAGCCCTTAAGTGAAGCCCCTCTGCTTGTTGAATCCTACAGAAGTGCTTGGGGTCCGTTTAGCCTCCAGCTTCTGTAGTTGAAATCCAGGGCCACACCTTTGCTCTGCTGGCAAACTAATAGTACAGATCCAGCCAGTGTCCTTTCACCAGAGGGCATAGCAGCTGTTGGCACAGGAGCTCTGCCCTCCTCACTGAGTCTACCCACCACGGACTCCTAGGTCCCTATCTCCTTCATGGTCAGACTATTCTCAATCTCTGACTCTTTTTCTCTTCTAGTCCAGCCCTGTCCCTCCCCACCCAGTCCCTTGCAGGCAGGAAGGAAGTCTTTGGCACCCATGACTCCAAACACCAGCCAATTACTAATATACTTCAATTTCTTTTTTTAATCTTTGTTTTTATTTGTTTATTTTTATATGGTGCTGGGGATCAAACCCAGGGTCTCTTACGTGTGAGACAAGCACTCTACCACTGAGCTACAACCCCAGACCTAATATACTTCAATCTCTATCTGTGGTTTTGTCTTGAATGCTTCTTGGTGCTGCAGACTCGCTCTGTATCCACTTAACTCCTCCCTGTGGATGGGTAATATGCACCTAAAGCCTCACATGGGAACCCTGCTTACTCCTCGCAGTCAGCATCCCACTGTCAGACCTATGGCTGGTCCTCTCTTATTCCCCATACCCAATTTCTCTGCAAGTCCTGTGAGTTCTACTTCCAGAATGGTTCTGGAGTCAAACCATTCCCTCTATCACCTTGCTCCCACCCTCGTCTGGATGATCCGCATCTCCCACCTGGAAAATTTCCACAGATCTGGAGGCTTACCCTGCTCCTACCTCCAACCCCTCCAACTCTCTACCCATCAAATCCAAGCAATTCACACTTTGCTTACTGTGCTATCCAATACTTAAATCTAAATTCATTAAAGTTAAACTAAAAATTCATTTCTTCAGTAGCTGAAGCTGCATTTTAGGTATCCAGTAATCCTATAGGGAAGCGGCAGCTGTGTTATTCGGTGCAGTTTATAGAACATGCCCATTGTGGTGGAAAGTTCTATTGGATAGTACAGGCTCAGAACTTTTAGTGCACTTTGAATGAAACCTAAACTTCTTACAGGCATAGAAGGCACTGCCTTATCCTCTGATCTCAGTTTTTATTGTCCAAACCTGTCTCATCTCCCAACCCAGCTGTTCCTCAAACATAACTACAACTTTGAAGTCTCCTTTGTCTTTGCATATCTGTTGTTTCTTGGTAACTCCAACTTAGGCAAGCCTTCCCCAAACCTCTGCCTCCTACTGGATTCCCTACCAAGGACACACATCCCTGCCAGGGCCCAGCTCTGACTACCTTATCATTTATACACACCCACACAGTGCTTCTCTCTGGGCTGTGCTCTCCTCTGAGCCACACACATATTCATTTGACCAGTACTGACTGAGGATCTATACTATATGCTGAGCACTTGGAATAAGAGGAATAAGATAAATAGTCTGTATTCCTCCAGAGTTTAGATCTAGCTGGGACAGACTCAAATGGGGAGTTACAGAGTTTTATGTCTAGACTCCATATTTCTCCTCACTCTTTCCTCCTAGGAAGGGATAGTTGAGAAGAAAGCTCTACAAGGAAAGAAAGAAAATTCTTCAGAAAAGGACCAGAGAGACCCAGGTGGGAACACTTTCAGGGAGTCCCAAGGATGAAGGAGTGTCTTTAGGGCCCAAAGAGGCTGTCTTGAAGGGGAGAAAGCCACTATCTGGATGTGTCCTTGTACTTAGCCATTTGCTATGCCAACAGAATGGAGCATGCCTTCAGAGTTTCTGAAGTGTGTTTGCTCATGTATAAAATATTAAAATCCAGGTGCACTGACACATGCCTGTGGTTCTAGATACTTGGGAAGCTGAGGTAGGAGGCTCACTTGAGCCCAGGAGTTCAAGACCAGCCTGGGCAACACAGGAAGACCCCATCTCAAATAAATGAACCATTGAATGAATGAATGAATGAATGAATGAATGAATAATATATTTAATGTGAACCTAAGTTGGAGGTTGTGAACCAGATATAGAGATATCTTATTGATAGATGAAGCCCCCTTCACCAAGTACCCCCTTTCCCCCCAGGCATTTAACGATCATATGGGCCCTGTTGAGCATACATTTCCTTCTGGAAACTGAGATCCAGTCTTCAAGGGAAAAAAATCACTTAGTCCTGTGGGGATTCTTTTTGATGATGATCAGTGAATGGGGTTCTAGAAGCCTGGGTTCTCATTCTTCCCTGGCCCACTCCCTTGAAAATTTTAGCAGATCATTTGGACAAAGCAGTTAATGTTAATCATGACCTTGTGAGTTCAGGATGATGGTGAGGAGGACAAGGATATGTGGTACTGGGAAGTGACCCAAGGCCTTGCATATGATAGGCTCTATATCCCCATCTGAATCAGGATTTATTATACCCATTTTAAAGGAGAGGCTACTGAGGATAGAACGCTGCTCAGTATTATTGCACAGCCGGGATTCCTGCACATCTCTGTTCCACTGGCCTCAAAGTCAGGGAGCCACCTGCGTCTGTTTCCTCACCAGCAAAAAGCACTATTTACAGCATGCCCGGCAGATGAAAAGTCGGCTGGGTGTGAGGGGACAAACAGTTCAGGAGACTGAAGAAACCTGCAGGGGGCAGCAGTGAGCCATGAAGCATCCTTCCAGCTCTCTGGCCTGGCCCTAAGGGTTCTCTAGCTGCATCAACATCAAGAGATAATCATAGATGAAACTGCACCTGCCATGTATCTGCCAGTTTTGTATGTCCCATCCAGGCACTTTACACATGGTACTCACAATATTTTGCACATGAAGACAAAAGTGAGCCCAGAGAAGTGAAGGGAATTACTGAGATTACACAGCCTAGAGTCACAGAAACCTGAACTGGAGCCAGGCCACCCTTGCTTCTAGCTCTGGGTTCTATTTCTCTACACTGGATGTCAGGGCATCTGCTTTCAGTGGTACTGGAACTGGGGGAAAAGGCATGATAATTCCTCAAATCCATGCAGGGACAACTTTTGAAGGCAAATATTCTTGTTCTCGTTTCAATGCCAAGGAAACTGAGGCATACAGAGAGGGATGGTCAGGACTCAAATCTAGTTCTTTGATTGCCAAATCCTCTTTCCTTTTCTCCTCACCAAATGGACTGGTTTGGCTATTTTCCATCGTACTCATCAGACTGCTTACAGAGAGTGCAGTCTGCTGTGTGTCTCAGATCTCTGGGTTTCCCTGGGGAGCCATCAAAGATTTCGTTTCACAACCTGCTCTGGCCTGTCCTATCTTCTACTCAGCCCTGCTGGTCAAGGTGGAGGCTGGTGACCCCTTTAGAGAGAGTCTAATAAGGTAAGTTCTGAATTAGGCAGACCCCAGGAAAACTACTTTGGTTTCTGGAGTTCAGAAGCCAGGGACAAATGCGCAGTCCAGGACACTGGAATGGAAATGTGTTGTTGAGTGACTTGGGGGAGAAATTCCTATTTATCATCCAGTATAAGGGTGTCTCTATGACAATCCCCTGAGGTCATTGTTGCTTTATCAATCCTTTCTACAACACTAGAGACTTGGGGACACTGGCACTGCCGACATTGGTGACCCAGCCTGATGCTGGCTCTCGCCAAGGGAACTTTCCTGCCTAGCCCTTCTCTGGATTGGGCCCCGCTGGGTGTTCCTAACATAGGTGAGAGGCTGGGCTGTAGGAAAATGAAGAAGCACGTGTTCCTGGTCCAGGTGTGCAGAACTGTCCAGGGTCTCCTGATTGGAAGGGTCTTTTTGAACCAATGGGCCCAGTGTCCTTCTTATGGGGCACCCCTGGCCTAAGAGTGGGACAGGCGGGTTCAACGACGCCATGACCTCAGTTTCCCCAAGTGCGCAGGGATTGAGGGAGAGGAGAGGCTCAGTGGGAAGGTGGCCTTGAGGGACCCCCGCCTAGAGCCCGCGGCGCGGTCCCTTTAAGAGGCGAGCCCTGCTCCATCAGCCGCGCCCGGCCACCGCCCCCCGGCCCTCCCCTTCCTGCGGCGCTGAGTGCGGGCCGGGCGGGAGTGCGGAGAGTCGGCCGGGTGGAGCGCTGCGCCCACAGAGGAGGTGGCGGTCGTGGTGCGGGACGGCTTAGGAGCCAGAAGAGAGGAGCGCGCGAGCAGTGTACATGGGCTGGGGGCTACTGAGCCGAGCCGAGCTGAGGGCCGCGCCCATCCCGCGTCGGCCGGCGCAGCCCCGCGCCGAGGAGTCCCGCACACAATAGCGGCGCGCGCAACCCCGCGCCCTTCCCCCGCCCGCGCGCGCCCCGCCCCCACGCGCGCGTCCCGCCCCGTGCTACCCGCCGCCCGGAGCAGTAGTGCCTCCCGCCTCACCTGCCGCCCGGGAGGGGGCGGGCATTGTTCACCGCTACCGCCGAGCCGGGCCATGGGGGCCGCTCGGCACCCCGGGCCGGGCCTGGCGAGACCACTGCGTCGCCGCTGAGGGGGTCCCGCACACAGCCTGGCGGTGCAGGTGAGGTCGGCCGCGCCATGGTGGATCCAGTGGGCTTCGCCGAGGCGTGGAAGGCGCAATTCCCGGACTCTGAGCCGCCGCGTATGGAGCTGCGCTCGGTAGGTGACATCGAGCAAGAGTTGGAACGCTGTAAGGCCTCTATCCGGCGCCTGGAGCAGGAGGTGAACCAGGAGCGCTTCCGCATGATATACCTGCAGACACTGCTGGCCAAGGAGAAGAAGAGCTATGACCGGCAGCGCTGGGGCTTTCGGCGCGCTGCGCAGCCCCCTGACGGCGCAGCTGAAGCCCGAGCGCCCGCGTTGCGCCCGGCGCCGGTGCCCGCCGACAGCGCGGATCCGCCACTAGCCGAGGAGTCCGAGGCCCGGCCCGACGGAGAAGGATCCCCAGGTAAGGCTCGGCCTGCGACCGCCCGCAAGCCTGGAACCGCCACTTCCTCTGACCGGGATGAGCGGGGACCCCCCACCAGTGTGGCGGCGCTTAGGTCCAACTTCGAAAGGATTCGCAAGGGACCTGGGGCTGCGGACACTGAGAAGCCCTTCTACGTGAATGTCGAATTTCACCACGAGCGCGGCTTGGTGAAGGTCAACGACAAAGAGGTGTCTGACAGGATCAGTTCTCTGGGCAGCCAGGCCATGCAAATGGAGCGCAAGAAGTCCCAGCAAGGTGCGGGGCCGGGTCTGGGGGATGCACCCAGGCCCCATTACCGCGGGCGCTCCTCAGAGAGCAGCTGTGGCCTCGACGGCGACTATGAAGATGCTGAGTTGAACCCTCGATTCCTGAAGGACAACCTAATCAACGCCAATGGCGGCAGCAGACCCCCTTGGCCGCCCTTGGAGTATCAACCCTACCAGAGTATCTACGTCGGGGGCATGATGGTGGAAGGGGAGGGTAAGGGCCCGCTTCTGCGCAGCCAGAGCACCTCAGAGCAGGAGAAGCGCCTCACCTGGCCCCGCAGGTCCTACTCCCCCCGGAGTTTCGAGGACAGTGGAGGTGGTTACACTCCGGACTGCAGCTCCAACGAGAACCTGACCTCCAGTGAAGAGGACTTCTCCTCTGGCCAGTCAAGCCGGGTGTCCCCAAGCCCCACCACTTACCGCATGTTCCGAGACAAGAGCCGCTCACCTTCGCAGAACTCGCAGCAGTCTTTTGACAGCAGCAGCCCACCGACACCTCAGTGCCAGAAACGGCACCGGCAGTGCCAGGTGGTGGTGTCTGAGGCGACCATTGTGGGTGTCCGCAAGACTGGGCAGATTTGGCCCAGCGATGGGGACAACACCTTCCATGGAGATGCAGGTGGGTACCTGTCACCACTATCGGTGGGCAGTCTGCACTTGTAGCAGGAATCTATTAAGTGGTAGGGAAAGCTGTGGAGGAGGACTGGGTGTTGTTTTTTTTTTTTTTGAGTGTTTTTTTAAGTGCTGTTTAAGCACTGCAGATTTCAGCTGATCCTGCATCCATACTAACTTCCCTTCTCCTGAATGCAAATTCTCAAGTGTTTGGAATGGGATTGGGTTGGGAGGGGTGGTATGGGGGATGGCAAGCAATTTATTCCTTTGGTTCTAGAGAACCATTCTTGTGAAAATACAGCATGCAAATTGGGAGGGAGACGCGCTGTCGTGTTACCCTATGATCTCTTCACACTGAATGAACAGTGAGGAATGCATAAAGCCAGAGTCACTACTGACACCTAGATCAGATCCTTTCATTGGGGACTGATCTGTGTCTTGGACATTCCCCACCATTGCACCATTCCTGTCCTGGAAGATTATATTACACATTTGGAGAACCCAAGATGTGCTAGTTTTCAGGCCTTCAGAGTGTCAGGTTCACTTGCTAGCGAGTTAGAGCAGGTGAAGATCCATCTCAGAAGGAAGTGAGGTGATAGGCAGTTCTGACTCAGTGGGCACTGAAAATCATCGAGATGAAGATTTTATCTGGGACTAAAGCAGAGCCACACCCGTTCTGATCAGCCTAGCTTTTGATGGGAGGCTTCACCCATTATTACTCACCCACAGGCATCTCTCTACATCTTAACCCACCTGGGTTTCTGATCCCTGGCCACCTCATTAACCAAGGATGAGCACCCACAGGTGCTTATTTTGGCCTCCCAGGCCATGGTCTGACCCCAGCCCTAAGATTAAACCTGTGGGATTTTACAATAATATCTGCGCCTTATGTAGATATCATTAGACATTTGGGGTAAGGAGACTAGGTTTTGAGATCTAGGCACAGTTCGAAGTTGGGGTAAAGATATAGAGTGTGTGGGCTGGGGGGTGTGGGGTTTGGTTGGGAATAGGGGTATGTCAGGTTGTTTGGAATCTATTTTAGAGTCTTGGTTGCTGTTGGAATGATCCGGTTTTCTGCTTCATTGATTTTTCTTTTTCTGCTGATAGAGTTACATGTGCTTCATTTGTCAGAGTCCTCTTGAAACAAGTGAGGCTATTTTTGGCTCATCAAGCTGCCTTTTTGTGCTCAGCACTCTGTCCTGTTTGTTTTAGGTACTTCCATTTGCTGATCTTGTTTATAGCTGGGGTTGGCTGTGGTACGTGTCTGGGACCTGCCCGAGGCCTGGTTCAGCTGCATTCCCTAAGTCCTTAGTGGAAGAGCAAGAAGCTGTAGGATTCGGAAGCCTGCCTTGCAGGCCCATCAGCTTCTTCCGGGTCTGGAGGATTGCCCTGTGGTTACCTTGTCTGGCCAGCTATTGGCCAGAAGAACCAGCTTACACTGGCCCCAGAGTGTTTTATGCAGGAAAATGTTATTGATAAAGAAAATAAAAGGTTTTTGTGGAGACCTGCAATCTGAAATGATACCCACTTGCTGGTGGGGAATTCTAACTTTTTAGAAAATTAGGCCTTTTCTACAGCTTCCATAGACATGGTCAGGTTGCCCACCACATAATTGACCCCAGGGCAAGTCAAAGCAGGTAAAGATAGGAACTAGAAGGAAATGAGGCCCAGCATTAGAGAAACATGGGGTACAAGAAGTAGTTTTAGAACTTTCTGGATCCTTCGCTGAATTCTGAATGTCTTTAAGGTTCCACATTCTCTCTCTCTCTCTTGTGTGTGTACCCTACTGGAGATTGAACCCAGGGGCACTCTACTATTGAGCTGCATTCCCAGACCTTTTTTGATTTTTATTTTGATACAATGCCTTGCTGAGTTGTCTAGACTAGCCTCAAACTTGAGATCCTCCTATTTTGGCTTCCCAAGTCACTGGGATTACAGGTGTGTGCCACCAAGCCAGCTAGACTTAATATTTTCAAGAGAACATTTAGGTTCACAACAAATTTGGACATAGGTACTCATTGCCCCCACATCTGCTTCCTCCATTATCAGCATTCTCCATTAGAGGGGTACATTTTTGACAGTCCACAAATGGATGTTTTGACAAGTAATTATCACCTATAGTCCACAGTTTACGTTAGGATTCCCTTTTGGTGTTGTACATCTTAGGGTTTGGATCCTTTAAGGCTTTAAAATTCCTGGTTGTTTTAGTTCCAAGAGACTATAAACTCTGCCCTACAATCTCCTTTGACATGTGGCTATGTGTGGCTGGTGGGGAAAGAGATCCTGCACTGGCTCAGCCATCTGTCTCCATCTGGACTGTTTACTGATGTTCTTTAGATGACTGTGGGTCCTGCTGGCCTGAAAAGGAACAGTGAGGAAAAAAATACAGTGTGGGAAGGGGGTGGAAGTCGTCCTAATGCTCAGCAGTGGTAGACATGGTGGCCCAGCTCTATAACTTCAGAATCCCCTCATATGAGTGGGCGTTCTTTTTTCTGAATTGAGGGCTGCTGCTGATTAAGGGAAGGAGCTGAAACTATCACATGCTGCTTTGTGCTGGGCACAATGACATAATGCTTCATGCAGGGTCCCTCATGAACTCTTCATCACATGGTGGGGCTGTCCATTTAAAGGTAAGGATGCAATCAGAAAGTGGTAGAGCTGGGATTGTGGGGCTCTGTGTGAATGCAAAGCCCCATTTCTTCATGGTTGTCCTGTGGTGGTCTGCTGCTGTCCCACATTTCTATCTGAAAAGCACAACTGGGTTGGTCCAGGGGTCCCTCCAGCTCTGAGCACCCAGGGCCTGCCTATGTGGGTTATAACTGATGGCTAGGAGTATGCCTTGTCTAAGGCTTTCCATGGTGCTATGAGGGACACAGAGGAAAGTGAGTGGTCCTTGCCATCTGGGAGCTTAGAGGGACGTGCATACATGTGTTTGGAAGAGAGGGAGATTGGGGAAGCTTCCAGTTTCCTTGGCTCATTAGCAGAAGTCTAACAGCCAGCCAAAGGGTTGGGGAGGAGAGCTATTTGCCAGAGGGGAAGTGATAGCAAAGGAGCAAAGGCTGGGGAGCACCCATGTCCCATACACACACACACACACACACACATATTTGGTATCAGGGATTGAACCCAGGGACACTTAACCTCTAAGCCACATCCCCAACCCTTTTAAAAAATTTTATTTAGAGACAAGGTCTTGCTAAGTTTCTGAGACTGGCTTGGAACTCGTGATCTTCCTGCCTCAGCCTCCTCAGCCACTGAGATTAGAGATGCCACTACACCTGGCAATATGTGTGTGTGTTTTAATGATAAAATATTCATAACAAAACTTACTGTTTTAGCCGGGTTTGTTTTGTAAAATACAAAGATTTACCTCTTTAACCCATTTTAAACATTTTTAAGCATACAGTTCTGTGGCATTGAGTACATTCACTTTGTTGTGCAATCATCGCCACCATCCATCAACAGAACTTTTTCATCCTTCCCAAACTGAAACTCAACACCCATTAAACTGCAGCTCCCCATTTCCCTGCCCCCAGCATCTGGCATCCACCATTCTGTTTTCTGTATCTGTGAATTTGATGGCTCTGGACACCTCACATTAGTGGAATCATACTGTATTTGTCTTTTGTGACTGGCTTATTTCACTGAATGTAATGCTTTCAGGGTTTATCCATGTTGTAGTGTTTTGTGGTACTAGGAATTGAATGCATGTCCTCATGCATGCTAGGTAGGAGATCTACTACTGAGCTAAATCCCCAGCCTTTTTAAAATTTTGAGCAGGGTCTTGCTAAGTTTCCCCGGCTGGCCGTGAGCTTGAGATCCTCCTGCTCAGCCTCCCACACCTGGTGACTGTAAGCTTTTTGAAGGCAGGAGTCACAAGTGTGTTTTCAAGTTCTCCTGTCTCGGAACTTTCCACATAACACATACTGGAGAGTCTTTCCTCATTTTCACAACTTGTTTTGGAGGTCAGAATTGGAAAGCAAGCATCCTATTGACTGTACCTGTATTTTCCTGTTTCATCAGTATATTTAAACTTTCTTTCCAGAGGACTTGTGGCAAGCCATTTCCTGAGGCAGGGACCAGATAACCCAAGGTGCTTCCCTTTTTGTTTCCGTGAGAATATATTTTCTTTTGACAACTGGGAATCGAACCTAGGACCTCACATACACTAGGCAAGCCCAGTACCATTGAATTACATCTCTATCCATTTTTTTACTGATTTATTTTTGAGACAGAGTCTTGCTAAATTACCCAGGCTGGCCTAAAATTTGTGATACTTCTGCCTCAGCCTCCAGGGTACCTGGGATTACAGTCATGCACCACCACACCACCACACCCTACTTTTAATTTTTTTTGTGTGTGTCTGGTGCTGAAGATTGAATCCAGGGCCTCACACATGCTAGGCAAGCACTCCATCACTGAGCTACATGCCTACCCTGGTCCTTTCCTTTTTTAGGTCTAAGAAATTTGTGAACCTATATCCCTTTCAGCCCTTTTCTATGTGTGACCCTCAGATTTTTTTTTTTTTGGGGGGGGGGTGGTTGCTGGGGCTGGAACCAGGGATTTGCATGTGCTAAACATGTGCTGTTCCACTGAGCTATATCCCTGGCCCAACCTTACATCTTGTGTTTCTCCATGGCCACTCATGAGTTGCTATCCTGTGTTTTCACCTTTTTTTTTTTTTAAATATTTATTTTTTAGAAGTAGTTGGACACAATATCTTTATTTTGTTTATTTATTTTTATGTGGTGCTGAGGATCGAACCCAGGGCCTCGCACGTGCTAGACGAGCGCTCTACGGCTTGAGCCACAATTCCAGCTCCGTGTTTTCACCTTTTTATTGAGCAACTTAATTTGCCCTTTGGATTCCAGCAATATGTTGGCACTAGAATGGTCACTGCCTTGTTTTTCCCTTGATGATTGACTGGATAGGCAACTGGTTTTGAGTAACAGTGTGGCTGTAAAAGGTCAGGCTTCTCGTTGGCTCCGTCATGGCCTCTTTAGACCA